ACACACACACACAAACGCACACACGGTTAGGGGTGACGCTGGAGCCCCTCTACACGTAGACGTACACCATAAGCCGGAAACGGAGTACAACAGAACAACTGAAAAGCGATCGTCATTCTCTCCCCTAAGCTGCCCCGCAGAAGTTTTACTCAAGCAAATCTCCTCCTTTGCTTGCACTTTCTCTGTGCGAAAAGTAGCAAAAGAGAGGAGTAACCCTCTGCATCGATGAGATAGGATGAGGCCCATGCCCAACCGTCTCTGGTGAAAGCGCAAACAAGCAGCGCGGTTGTACTTGCCGCAAAGCTTTGGGGATACCACGCTTGCTCGTCGGTCACATGCCCATGCTGCTGTGTCAGACTACACTGCCCGGAGACGGGTAGACGGGAGAAAAGTGTGGGGCGAGGCAAGCAGAAATCGAGAGAACCTGTCTCATGCACCAGTCACTTCGTTACCTCAAGCCGTCGCAGTTGTTAGCTTCGCATGATGTCCCGCTGCAAGCCAGTCTGGACGAGCCCAAGCTGAACAGCCGGTACCTTGAACGGGGCGGCCAAATGTAGAACCAATCGCCAATGGCTCTGAAGGCATGCAGTATCTGGGTAATTGTCGGGCTGCATGCTTACACGGTGAGATATTGTTGGCCGTTCCTCATATTATGTTGATGTTGGAGCCGACTTTCACAATACAACTTCTCGTGATTGATGCGGGTTTGCGAGAGCTCTTAGGTCAGGTGCAAGGTCTTTTCCAAAGTCTGCCTGATTGTCTATGCACCTGTGACCGTTTTTTCTCATCTTCCCGCCTTGACATGAGCTCAGGGTTGGAAGGGCAGGCTTGAAAAGGCATCCGGAATTCTGCTGTGGGGTGGGGATGAAGCCGATGCCTGTGTAGATCAGAGGGAAGAGATGATCCAAGACATGGGCAAGGAATGGCACATGCGCAAACAGAAACCAGTCGGCACGGCTTTACACTCCGAGTATTTCCGACGGTTGTTGGAGTGAACACCAGTCTGTCAGAGTGTGATGATGCCCCGCATGTCCAGTAAGAAGTGCCATGAAAGTCTAAGTCCAATTTCCCTGTGTAGCCACCATGACTTGACGACGCTGGGCAAAGCAGGACGACAACTCGCCATTGCCTGATCACGCGACAGCCTTTCCGCCTTCCATTTCCAAGGCGGCACTGTCGTGGCGATGCATCGCTCCAACATGAAACTGTGCGAGGCGGATGGTTCGTCTCGATCCAACGCACCCCAAAGTGTGCAGAAGTTGCCGCGGCCCCGACTACGGCGATTCGCAGTATGACTCATTCCAGCACCGAGCTCATGCATCGGCTTCGCGTAAGCTTGTGCTAGCAAGAGAGAGGCTTTGCTGGGAGGTGATGTCTTTTTCGCCAGGTTTGACGGCGTGTTTGTATGAGCGCCTCAAGGGATCATGCGGTATTTGAGATCTTCATTGCACACACTATGTTGCCTATGTGTTGCCACACCCCACCCCGCTCACCCGACCCTGCATAATTACATGCATCCGCATAAGATAGATTCCTCACATCAGCGAGTGGAATCCCATCACTGAGGAGGTGCATCTGAATGCACCAGTTTGAGGTGTGCCGTATGGTGACCGTGCCAGGACTGAATTGACCAGGACACCTTCACATCAAAGCAACTTGAACTGATGACCGCGCTCAAGGGTCCAAAAGCATTTGAAGTAGTAGAAAACACAGATGTGATGGCTTCTGCAGCCCGTCCAATGGCCCAACTGTCTCAGTTCGTCGAGGAGCCGAGTTTGCCAGGTATGGCCCCTTCTTCCACTCGAGATTCCGAGCCAACTACGTCAAGCCCCCTCGAATCCAAGTCCGTTCGTGCGGAATCTAATCCAATGGGCAATTCAACAGCTCCCCAACGACAACGTCAAGACTGACTCAAACCGTCTGAAAAGCCAAAGAAGCATCGCTTGTGAGGACAGACCGCAGCCACGCGAGAGGGGGAAAATCAAATTTTAAGGTACCAAAAGTTGGAAACCCAATAGCCTCAATCCTAAAGACTAGCAATGTAGAGGGAATCCCAGCGCTATTTGTCCTTAATCAATCCGGTTTCCAACTTTTGGTGGTTTACCGTACACCCTGTGAAGTGATTGCACACTGTGTCGGCAAGTTGGCTAAACTACAAATTTCGGCGTCCACAGAAAGAAAGGTAGAACCTTTCGCTGCTCACAGCTATAGATATGAACGATTTGCATGCCAGGCAATGTCACGTTTGGTGTTGGTGTTTTGGGAGAGGCTGCTCGGATTTCCTGGCACCTCCTGGTACCTGCTCGTGAAGGCTGCGCGATAGTGCACGATGAAAGGCAGCTTGATTCAGTCCTTGACGGCGATGCATCACATGTGAGCAGCTGGAGCGGGACGAGCAGGAATTTTAAAGCCGGACGCTGACTCCACGGTGTGGCGACACAGGCACAAGGTCTCAGGAAGGTGCTGGGTGCAGCAGGCTGATCGGAGCTGCTCGTTGCCCGGGCAGATGCAGTTCACTGAGCAGCGCTGCCCTTTTACTGTACCTGTTTCGACTCACACACTCGCACAAGGAGGGCTCTGCACAGGCTGCACTACCTCGACACCACTCTCTAACACGTTGAACATGTCAGAGTCAGAGAGAGCGAGGGCAATTCCATGGCGTTTGCTCATTGCAGACACTCTACATGCAGGAACGTATGAAAAGTTCAGCCAAATGTGTCGCAGGAAAGAAATTTTTATGACGGGAGGACCGTCAGGTCAAACGTGGCGCTGTAAACATCTTTAAACGGCCCTCCGGCAGTGTGGGTGTTCATGTGGTGGAGTAGTGTTAGCAGTAACAGATGATCCGCCACACATGCCGTGCTGCTGATGTTCCCCTCCCGAGGCCGTGGCGTGCAGCAGGCTGCTACTGTAGTTGGCGCGGGACTTTGGCCATTTTTGCTGTGCAATTTCAGGCCGGAGCTCCGTCAGCAGGCTGACCCGCCGTCTGCGACATTGATATTGCGGTAACGATGCTGCTGATCTTTGGAATTCGCAGGTTTAGCTCCACAGGAAACGCTGCTGCGGGCTCGGTGTTATTGAGTTTGTTTCCTGTACCTGCGTGTGTGTGGGTGTGTTTTGTGCTGTTTTATGATAGCTCTTTTGGTTTTGCAGTTTGGATCTGAGGCCCGCAGCAGCTTGGAATCGGAAATGTCAGATCTTGCAGAAGGAATGAAAGGCCGGACTCGGAGATGCACATCCTTCAGGCTTTGTGAACATGTCCTGCAGAGTGCCCACGATGCAACTACCTACACAATTGTGCAAAGGTGCCGCAAACACTTTCTTGAAGACCTTGCAAAAGGACAACAAGCGTTTGGAGGCTGGCACGCTGCGCGCAAGAAGTGCACGGAGCATGAAGGGGAGCAGCTTGAGGACATGCAATCAGCGCAACAGCGAAGTCCCTCGCTTGATGCCTTTCCTATATGGGTTCGGTTGCTTTTTTTGGTGTGTTTGGGTGAGTGCTTCAGCAAGTAGCGCTGAGATTTGCCTGGCTCTCAGTTTCCTTTCTTCAGGGGCACCCGGCAGTCGCAATGGGCCTGTGCTTCAGGTGCATACTTGTTTTTGATCTGAGTCACGACGGAGCAGAACAGAACGAGAAGGGCATCATTGACAATAAGTGATAGCAAGTATATGCTGTCAGGGGTGCGCTTGAGCTTGTAACAGGAAATTGTGCGCACACTTGGTTTCAGCATTTCCCGTGTCCCGACATTAACTGCAACGTGACGGCTGGCTCAATCATTGAACGCTGAGGTCTAGACAGTGTTTCGTCTCACGCTGAGAAGGGCAAGAAGATGCTTCGCTCTGGGCAGTTGAGCTTTCTTTGCACCTCGCAAGACATTGGTTTGGGAGTGATCATGCTGCTGCTCCTGCTGTCCGTTGGTTGGTCTATTGAGTCCTCGACATGGAATTGCTTCGTGTCTACCTTTAGGTACCATGCTTCTGGTCGGAATCTCCGCCCCAGACTCAGGCATTCGGTAGAAAATCCCTGAATGGCACCATTGCAATGGCAGGTGGCAATCTTCTGCGCTATGATACCTTTCATCATTTTTACTTGATCTCGCCTGAAGAAAGACAGAGGCAGCCAATGCAACATTGCAGGCAACAGGGGTCGCATGTCACATGCCTTTTGAAGCTGGAAATTGGGTGTGCATGCCATGCTACCTGGGGCATGTTGCCTCAAGCTTTGGGTGTCGGGACAGAGACTACATGATGCAGTCAGGCTCAACCATGCTATCCATCGCAGCTATCAGGATCGAGCCTTGAGCATAGAGATCCTGCCAAACATGGAATGCCGCTTGCTAAAGATATTTCTTGGAGCCTTGGTCGCTGAAACGACAGGCGTTGCAAACTCTCTGAACCAGCTACCGGCTGCAAGCGACGTGGCGAACCTTGGGGAAACTGAGATTGAATCATCAGCCGATGCATTGCATCCACTGCGCAAAGTCGAAACTGTGACCGGTGACCAGCACAGGCTTCGGCCAAGCGAATCAGCAAGGAATGTCCAGCTGCAGAATTATTCTGCCATACAGGAAGAGGGTGCCTTAGCGGCTCGTACGACCTATGTTTCTGCCTCACAGGACTCTTGAAGCTCGGGTTTAGCTCGTAGTTATCCTTCCGGGCGGTAGGCAATGCAGGCCCATGCCCTGCCGAGATTGCTAGTGAGTCGTGTGGAGAGGACCAAAACGCGCAGCCGCCTGAAGCAAACGCGCGACTCGGATGGATGAGAGCCTCATTTCTGGTGGCGCAACCTGTGTGGACTCGGATATGAGTTGCGGAGACTCAGGCCATGGAGCGTGAAGACCGTCGCTATACCCAGTCAGACTTGCCCGACATGCTGCCGCGGTTCTTTCCTAGAGATGCTACTAGGCTACAAGATCAGTGATTTCAGTCATTTGTGTGGGGGTAGTCGAGACTAAATTCACACGTAAGGTGTCGGACCAAGAGGAAACAGGATGAGAGAGAAGGACAGACAATGTGTAGTCTAGGCTATCAGCCTATCTGAGTCCAACTGTCGGACGGAGGCGGTGATTCTTGCCGGTTCTACATCCGAGGTGTCCCAGCCAAGTGCCGGGTGACCCGTGTGCCAGTCAGCTCACATGCTCGGGCTATCACAGGCGGGAGCGCCACAGCAGAGCCTGCATGTATCTTCAGATCACAGGACACAATACCGTTTCGAGAGTACAGGTGCTCCGGTGCTGCGAATGGCTTCGTGCAATGCCAGCCCAAGCCCGGTTCGGAAGTTATTTGCCAGACCGGGCCAAACTGCTTGCCCGAGTGTATCGGGAGCCACGTCGGCAAAGAGGGCGACGATTGCGCCCTGCAGTCTTTGACTGAATGCGAAGGTCATTACGTCCGGCGAGGGTCGCGAGCCGTCCAGTGCAAAGTGAGCAGGGGTGGCAATCCAAGTGGAGCTGATATATGTGAGAACTCTTTCCTCTGTGGGACGTGAGCAGGCTGAGAATGGCACTGAGATTGCGCATGCATACCAGAAAGACCAAAACATGAAGTGCAGGTTCTGCAAGCAGTTCGAGCCGTCTGAGTGCGAGACATAAACGACGACTCTTTGTTAGAGCCGTGTTGCTGCATTCCAAATGCTGTAGTCCTGCCACTGCCCCTCAGCATACTCACATGCCACTGCGTGCTTCGATCTCCCGGGCATCATGCACGGGAAGTTCAATGTCACTCCAACTAAAACTTTGGCCTGATTGGTGCAGCCCATACAGCACGCAACGACATTGAAAAGGCAGGAATTCACCCGAAACTAGGATCGGGGCCTAGGTAGCTGGCAGTCCCAGCTGCCCACAGCCAGTTGCTCCCTCGTCCAATTTGTAAGCCCCCGGCCTTTGATTGCCCAGTTAGGCTCGCTGCTGTCCTAGCTCTGTGGTGGCCACGCTCTCACTTTGTGCTTCTGCCTGAAGGCCCTTGCTTCTTTCAAAGTCAAAGACCAGTTGTTGTCAATCGCCTGAAAATCAGAGAAATCACTCGAGGAGGTGACATGGATTTGCAGTAACAATAGTCATGCGAGCTTGCGCTGCGAGCATGGCAGCCCCGGGTTGGCATAAAACTGCCGCGTGCAGGCAAGTTCCATTTCGCTCATGACTCATGGCTCATGGCCCTTTTTGGCTCGAGGCGTTCTCATCACACATGGATGTCGAGAACCTTTGGCACACCTGTTGATTTCATGTAGACACGAGGCCTGAGCCTTGTTCTAAGCCCCCTTGAGCTCGGACGACCCGCAAAGAAGAGGTTGCGGGGTCTAGGCTGACTTGGCGGCCTAGGCGCGTTAGCGTATGGATTTGGAGAGAGTTCCTGCAGCCCTGGTTCATGCTCGACCTGCTCAGCTGCAGGCCCATGTTCCTTGCGGAAGCTTCTTGATTTCGGAAGAGCCCGAAAAAAACCAGTGCTGAAGTGAAGACTCATCACTCATCACACCAGGAGTCTGAAAGCTGTGACCTGGGCAAACTCTGACGCTGAATACCACATTCAAGGTTTTCGCGCTTGGCAGACGTGAAGCCCCTACGCACTGCCCAAGACTTTCCATCGCATGCTTTCATTCGCGGGCTTCCCGCCAGACTAAAAACGCTGATGACGTACACACAAGTGCCAGCAAAGAGACTGTCTGGCCTCTCTGTCAGTCGTCAGTGTTTCGCGCCTGGCCTTTCATCCCTAGGCCCCCAGTTGACGCATCCAGTGTTGATGAGTTCTGTAGCCACAGTTTACTGGATGTCCTGTGTCTTCAACTGATACCTGGGTCCCAACGCCTCACGAAAAGCCACAGTGAACTGGAAGTCGTGGGGCTCGAGGGCTCAGACTATCACTTCCCTGTCGATACTCTGCGGGTTTCGAGCTGGAGGTTAGAAGCCGTGCAGTGTGTATGCTGTAGGGCAATTGCGACCTCTTGATGTGAATGTCGTTCTGTTTCGCTGGCTGCAATCATGCACATATGTACAGACAGGATCACAAGACCGTCGAAGCACAATCGCAGATCGCAGGCATGTTTGTACCCACTAGTCACCTGGCGGAGGTGCTTTAGCTTCTCGGCTTGTTCGTTTGCCGATTGGTCTATATGTCGGTCTCTTTCTGTGTGTATGTCTGTTAGACAACAGTCGCACAGATTTGTCACTCATGATGCTGCTTTGCATCGAGATCTGGATGCTGCATTGTTCCTTGGTGGCCTTGTTGCATGTGTGTGTGTGTGTGCGCGCGCGCGCGGGCGTCCGTCCGTCCGTCCGTCCGTCCGTCCGTCCGTCCGTCCGTGCGTGCGTGCGTGCGTGCGTGCATGCGTGCGTGCGTGCGTGCGTGCGTGCGTGCGTGCGAGCGAGCGAGCGAGCGAGCGAGCGTGCGAG